GATGCTTTTGACCTGGTCATCACATGTCCCTGAGATTTAGTCTGAAGAGGGGTTATTCTAGGGGCAAATGGTACAATTGCTAAGTGTTTTCTTTTTCCCACAATGCATACATGTCAGTAGAACAGATCATTAGTTTAACACCATGTAGAATATGATTTGCTTTTCCTTAGTAAAAATACAAACTGTGAAATTCATGGTGAGTTGATAAATTTGCCTGCTCATATCTAAATATAGTAAAGTCAACATTTCTCTTTGGAAACTGAAAATAATTAATTACTAACTAATTACTAATTGTTTTGGGGAAAACAGATAAGAAAGATTTGGGACAAGATTCCCACTAGCAAACAGTACCAATGGTAGTAGTTTAGTAGTATATCTTTGCATGTAAATAACAGTAATATTAATTCTATTACTAGATTCCAAATTACCTTAAAAGGCCTTTATGAATATTGAATGAGATAATCTGTGGAAAGCATAGAGTGAGAACAATAGAACTCCACAAATGTTAGGATTCTTATTGTAATTAGTATTTTCTCAAGCCTCATATCATTTTCTAGCTCTCTTTTCTCCTGTGAAAAATGTTTTACCCTTTATAAAGTAACTGCCCCTTTGTTTTTTATGGCTCTCCTTAAAATACTTTTTTTCGAGGAATCGTGCCTTTGATCTTTTGCTGTTAAAAAGTATCTTTGTGTGTTGAGTAAAGCTGTAGAGAAGCAGAATCGTGAAGATTCTAAAGCAACAGGCCTTACAGCCTAAAGTAACTAACTGCCTGCCGCCATTTTGGACATGGATGCCCCCAAGAATCTCTGCTACACCAAATATCACACAGATCATTTAGCCAAACCAAGATGATAAAAAGGGCCTTGTCCTTCTTCATTAAGGGACTACCAGTGATGTGGGGAACATAAGAAGAATGTCTAAGCCCTGGGAGGGTGAAAATGTCCTAAGCTTAAAAAGGAAACTCCATCCCTCTCAGGCTCTCAATGACCTTTCTGTTGGCCCCCCACAGTGGGATGACAGAAGCGAAACTCTAAGCAGAGGGCCTAACAGCTGTTGTCATGTGCTCACCTCATGACCAAACAGGAATTTGAAGTTTGCGGACATCAGATACAATGAGTTATTAACATGTTGCTCTGAACAGTTCGGAGCACAGACCAGGCTGTGGCCCAGTAAGCCTAGCAGTATGTGTTTATTTGTATTTGTTTGGGCTATTCTAGATCACATTCTCCAGCAACCCAAGAAAAGCACACTTATTCCTTATTAGCGAATCCAGTAGATGTAAGGATACCACATGCTATTTGAAAAGCTCTCTAGTGCTATCAGTCAAGTAAAGCAAATGAGATGAAAGACATTCATGAGTACAGCTGAAGTTCCAGAAAGATAAAAAGAAACCTGAGAGCCTTAGAGTGGTGTTAATTGAAAATTTTTCCTTTACAAGGGACAAGTCGTGTTATGATGATTTCTTTTATCCTCTGCCTTCTTTAACTGCATGCCGAGCAACGTTCCCCTTGTGCTTCTAAATAACAATCATGAGCCTGCGGACTGGAATAAAAGCACTTAGACAATTGTTTCAATGTCCAAACAGATTCTTTGTGGAAAGAGTGCCTTCTCCTTTCCAGCTTCTTCTATGGGTTTGTTCATCACCATGGTTAACTTTTAATCAAATATGCAGACACCAAAGTGTGGTGTTTTGAACTACTTTGCCAACTATGTTCTGTTTATAGACTCTGCCTAACCTTGCATAAAAGGAACTTTCTTTGGGATGGAGTTGTGACTTGGTGGTAGAGTGCTTGCCTGGCATGTGTAAGGCCCTAGGTTTGATCCTCAGCACTGCATATGTATAAATTAACTAATTAATTAAAGAAAAGATCCACTGACAACTAAAAAAAGTTTTTTAAAAAGAACAAGTCAATTGTACATCTGTAGAAACAAATGGGCTGGCAGTTACTCGCTGGATTATTTTGTCTAATTTCTAAACTAATAGGGGCATCATTTAATATCGAATGACACAGGCCACTGGAATCTGAAAAATACTTGAAAAACAACCATGGAGCCAGTAATGCAAGTAGACAATTTCGATAGGGCTGTGGTTGTTTGGGGGATATTTGTTTTGTTAAATTATTCTCTTTGATCTGTTTTTTAAGTTGTATTTTTTCCCTTCTTTTGTATGCGCCATACCCTGCTGACCATGTTTAACACTGAATTTGAAAACCACAATTACAAGTTTTATAGTTGAATATTATAGTTGCCCTTTGAAAGAGTGAGTTTGATTTTTGACTACTTATGTAAAATTTGTTGTTTATTGGGCTCAGTCCTTGAGAGGATAACTGCTGCAGGGTTTTGTTATTTTAGAAGGTTATGTTTTTCATCTTTGTTGTGGAAGGAGCCAGAGAAGAGACTCAGGGCCAGGGGACGTTTATGAAATAATCCCACTTATAAACATCTTTTTTCCTAAAGGACTACTTGAGGTCCTCATTTTTTAGGCAATTTTGGTATAGATAGCATGGTGGTATGATTGGTTTCTTGCTGATGGCTGAAGAGTGCTCTCCCAGGATGAAGCAGGATGGCTTTAGAACTCAGTGTTTCCCACGTGCTGGAAGATTTCAGGGGAGCAATTAGGAATGAGCAAGTCTGGGGGGATCCTTTCAAAGTGTTTGGCAGATCTCATTTTAAGATTATTTTTAAGCAGGAATTTCTCAAGCCTTTAAAAATCACAAGTCATTTATAGGAAGAGTAGTTTTTTTAGAAATTGTTATAAAGATCTAAAGTTTTAAATGGAAACTGTAAAGAAATAGTTTACACTGTGAAAAGTCTCATGAAGGAGAGGGAGACAGAATTACAGGCAAGCAATGATGAAGAATTTTAGGAATGTTTAGGGAATATAATAACATTTTTCTTTATTGCTGCTCTTTTTCAAGGTTAAAGAAAACAAATCAGAATATATTCCTCCTATTGGGTGCTAACATCTGTTTTGACCACTGTGTATGATCTATGACTGTGATTGTGGGTCAGATGAAGAAAAAGGAAATTTAAATTTGCATCCTACAAATTTAAAACATAAAGAACTCAGATAATGACATAGAACCTGGTAAAACCCTTCAACCCCAGCTTCATAACACCAACTAAATTCAAACTAACAGTTTTCTGCAGAACACAGTTTTAAAACCCAGTTTTAAAAAAAGGACTGCTACAGGTGCAGACCCAATGAAGATTCTCGGCTGGAGTTCAAGGTTTACCCTGGGCAGCTGTTATCCTCTGTCTAAGGACTGAATGATTTTAACTAGCCCAGCACCATTCTGAAGCACAGGTGTAACTGACCCAGTCTGAGAAGCTTAATATGAGAGTAAAATAACAAAATGTAAAAGTCTTAGAAACTCCTGAGCCTGCCTGTTCTGATTTTGAAGGACAAATTGCTTATCACTCAAGTGAAGATTAGATTTAGCCTTGCTGCTGCCAGATCCTGTGACTTGTGTAGTGTGTAAATACAAATTTCTTGAGCTGGCCTATTAGAGGGTGTGGCCCAATGAGCCAAGACTTCTCTGCCCCTCCCCCTGCCCTTGTCCCCTCTCTCAGCCTGAAAATGCCACTGACTTCATGCCCAAGGTACCAAGGACAGCCTCAGCTTCCAGTCTCTGAGGAAATGTTTGTTTTTGTCTTCGTGAGTTATGCATTTTATGGGGCAAAATGTCCTTGCTGAATTTCTTTCCCTTTCTTTCTTCCATTCCTCTAGTCTGTTTTAAAAGCCGACTGCACCATCTCTCTCTAGTTTCTGCAGTTTTTAAGTTTGATTGAGTTTTTAAGATGATGTGTAGTTGCCACTCATCTAGATAGGAAGTAGTCAATGGAGGGAATACTGTAAAATCTCGACTGTCCAGTTAGACGAGGTGTTTGTTGCCTCTGAATGTTCTCCACGTCACACACAGGACCTGCTTGCTGCGAGTTTGCTTGGTGAAAAGGTGTATATTGGTGTGGTGGATCATTGTTATATTTTAGAATTATTTTTACAATATTATGAACTACATTTGATGAATCTTTTAATGTTTCTAGGTTTCCTATCTTTATAATTTCTAAATGTCTTTTTCTGAAATAGAACTTTCTCGTGCTGCTGCTATACTGGTGATTTTCTGGGCATGTAACCGAGTTATACTGTATAACCCTGCTTTGAATACGTTCTCTCAGTTTTTTCAGTGATCAGAATTTGGCATGGGTGAAAGATCACAGAGAAGCCAGGGAGAATCGTGTTTGATGGTGAATAATGATAATAATAATAAAAGACTTGAGATTTCTCCCATCGCTGTAGCCAGCAGCTTCTCCCTGCTCTTATTTTAATCAGTGGCCCAGCCTTGAGATGAGGCTGCTGGATATCAGCTCTGCTGCTGAGAATCAGTTCCCCGATTGGCAGGGAGTAATGGACATGATGTCATGTTAATGGTAAAACACTATACTGCTGATTCCAAAGTTGTGGGAGAGTGCATTGCTGTCTTCAGAAACATTTTCTCCTGTCCTGAAGGCAATTATCTTCATCACCAGTTACTCTGGGCTGCTGGCATGTTATCTCAATTAACTGAGGATAAAATATATAGTATCGTTTATGTTTGATGTATTTGAGTTTTTATCATTTCTGTTTTGAGAAATTGAGACCAAATTATTTGCAAATATGTCTTATGGTTAGGAGAGAAAATTGTAGTGTTCTCAGATTGGATAAATTAATCTAGTGTTGACATGTCATTTAGGATTTGAATTCTTTTCTAATAACAATTCTTTGTCAGACAGGCTCCCCTGAGTCCACAAATATTAAAATATTCTGTAGTCATTACCTTTAGGTAAAATTACATTGAAGATAGGTGACAGATGGATAAATGTACATATATGCACATATACAGATATTCTATATAAAGGCACATATGTAAATTCATGTCTGTATAAAAGCATATATAACTATTTACATTCTTTAAAATTTCCAGAAAAAAAATTTCCAAATCATCTTTAGTGATATGGTTCAGAATTGTTTAGAATCCTCATTGCATTTTTTAAATAAATATTTAAATCTTCACTAGTTCTATTTTCTATTTTTCTTCAATCAAAAACTTACTCGGAAATACCAATAGACTATATCATCGACTTGTTCGAAAACCTTTAATTTATAACCAGATTTGTTGATCCATCCCAGGCTCTGAATTGGACTATGAAAATAAATAAGCAAAGCACCTTCCTTCAGGGAGTGGTAGTCCATCAGTGGTGGTGGACCATGAACAAACACGTGCAGTGAGATTTTATGGGTGGGCAGCCAGACCAGCGCATGGCCCCAGGCGAGGTCTTGGGAGCTCCTCAACTTGCAGTTACAGCCTCTGCTCTGCCCATTACTAAGATGTGAACTTGAACAGTCGCTCGCCCCACTTGTCTCCTAAAGAATGAGGATAGCAATAGTGTCAGCCGTAGGGGGCGCTAAAGAGCCGGCGCATGCCCAGTGCTAGCCCCAGTGTCCTCGCTGTGGATAGGCTGGCGCTGTGCCGTGTGCACAGGCGAGTGGAGGGGCCCAGGGCTGCTCACTGAGAAGTGCTTGTGGACTGCGTGATAACAACGTGGGTGTTACCCAGGTGGAAGGGAAAGGATGGGCTAGGCCGAGGACATTGCATGAACAAAGGAGCAGAGTACCGGAACTTCCACTTTTTGAGACTAATGTTGTCAGATCTAAATCAAAAACTGTTTTCAGCACTCTTTCTAAGGATCCTTTTCAAAGTTACCAAAACCTAGCTTCCAAGGTGCAGTCAGTTTGAGAGGCTTAACAAAACTCTTTTTTTCTCTCCCTTCCCAAAGCTTTATCTGTTTTGGATCCAGAGGGGCAATTAGCTTGAATTTTCCCGTATTTGTACTTCCCAAAATCATGCCTTCTTTTTTTTTTTTTTTAAATGACAGAACTAGATTGCTGATGCCTTTGAAGCCTATTGTTCACTCTGACCTCCAGCTCCTTTTCTATTATAATTGCTCAGTCAATTCTCTCTCATTTTTGTTGTTCTCCTTTGAATTACTTTTCATAGCTTCCTATTGAATTTTGCCCTTTTTCCTTTCCTTGTTTGTCAAGGTCATTTTAAATTTCAATCCAGTTTTTGTAACTCTCAGCCACCTCCACCCAATTGGGTGTCATTGTTAAATTTGATAAGAATGCTTCTGATTCTATATCCAAAGCATTAATAAGCATGTTAAATCTAGCAGCATTCAGCTGAGGACATAACCCTGTAGAATTCAATTTGTTTGTGCTAATTTATTTGCATACATTATAAAATAACCCCATCCAGACATGAAAAGAAACTTAGGAAAACATGCCATGAAAATACTGGGTAAAACAAGTGCTAAGTCATTGAATTCATTTCTGTCATGCTTTTCACTCATTGAAGGAAAAGGAAGACAATAATTTTCTATCTCGGAAGACATGAGTATGACTGATTCAATATTCATTCACTGTTAATGGTTCATGTCCCTGGAAGTGTGTGTTCATCAGAGTTTGTGCCCCTGACATTTTGCAGCCAGAGACACTGAACAAGTCACTCACCTCTCTGAGCTTTAGTTTCCTCATCTGTAAGATGGTGACCCCTGATCTACCTTAAGAAAAGGACTAATAAGATAAAGCATGGGGAAAATTCCAGAACTTGGCACTTTCTCAAATATGAGGCATTGTATTGGGCTTCCCTGGAGCCTAATTCTAAACAAGATCCCACCCTTGCCTATGTGACCTCAGTCCCAGGACACGTTTCTAGCTTGCAGGGGAACACTGTGGGACCTGAAGATTGGTTATGGATAGGCTTATACAGGTCGTCTTGCATCCTTTTAGGACTTGGTCTGAGTTCTAGAAAGAGTTCAGGATGACAAATGGAAAGTCATTCTTCTTAATGCCCTCAAAACTTGGCTCAGACAGGAGGATGAAAAAAAAAAAAAATCCCAAGTCATACCAAATGCTGTATGTAATTTGATAGCCGGATCCCAGACAAAGTGAGGAAGCCACACCCAAACCTTCCCCCAAAGTTAACCACAAAGATGGACCAGAATAGAGAGGGAGAGCAGGAACATTAAGATAAGCGGGGAAGGCACCTGGCCTGTTGGGGCACAGCGGACAATCATGGATGCTATCACAGCAGTTCCCCCTGGACCTTCTTGCTTTAGGGTATGTGAATTTTTTAAATATTATGTTTAGTTACTTCTCCTTTTATGTGTCAAAGCATTACAATGTACCACTGCTGAGTAAAGGAATTTGTAACATAAATGCAAAAATAGTCCTATCATTCAACAGGAAATTATTTTAAAGGACCGAAACAGGTAATGCCCCTGCTCCCTATATTTTGTTTTCTTCCTTTTTTTACTTTGGTGTTTATTGTATTCAAAAAACACGTGAGCTCCCTCTGGTGGTCATTCTGGTGTTTCTTCATGTTTAACGTGAAGTTTTAGTTACAGAGCACAAGATGTGTGAATGAAGTGAAAATATAATCATAACTGTTATTTTCTATTATAAGTTGCCTGTGGCTTGGGAAACTCCAATTCCTCCATCTCTCCATCCATCCACATGTGCACATAGACAGCCCACCTCTGTAACATTGTTGATACTTGACTTTCCCAAACAGGGCAGCCTGCTCTGCAAATCCATAGAGAGAGATTGAGCTTCAATTCTGCAAGTCAAACAAACATTCCCAAGGAGTCTATTAATCAGGAAATTTTTATAGAGTGCTTACTCCATATTAGACCAGAGTTAGCCATTGTGATACATAATTTGTTATTTACCATTTGAAAATATATAAACAAGCTCTTTAATAGTTGGCAACATTCTATTATTTTTCTCCTTTAAATTATATTCCCATTGTTTACCCAATAAATTAATCCTATTATAATGTATTTTTCCAGGCCAGAGGACTTTTTCATTGCACCAATATATTCATTTAAATGCAGCTTCTGCTACAGTAACAAAGACTCAGACGTAACAGTATCTTAAATAAAATTGAGGGTTACTTTTCATTTATGTTTACTATCCAAATGTGAGCTATCCAGGATTACCATGGTAGCTCTGTGTCACAGTGTATTTTTATGATTGAAAATCTCTTATGGATTACTCTTGTACTTAACATGTTCAAAAATATGTATAAGTGTAAATCTTAGTGTTTTAAAATTTCTGGTGACCGTAAGTCTTTCTTACAATTTTTCTACTTGATTGAATGATGGTAGTTAGCAGTTGTATATGATTAGTTCTATTTTATAAATCTCTATAAATAATTATTCAACTTGAAGTAAATTGTCATTGGAAATGCATCACAAAGTGAGTTGGAGGGTGCTTTTTAAAAAGTGAGGGCTGGGGTTGTGGCTCAGAGGTAGAGTGCTTGCCTAGCATGCTTGAGGCACTGGGTTCCATCCTCAGCACCACATAAAGATAAAATAAAGGTATTGTGTCCACCTACAACCAAAAAAATAAATGTTTTTTCAAAAGTGAATGATTATAGGGGCTGGGGTTGTAGCTTAGTGGTAGAGTGCTTGCCTAGCACAAGCAAGGCATTGGGTTTGATCCTCAGCACTACATAAAAATAAATAAATAAAATAAAAATATTGTGTCCATCTACAACAGAAAATATATTTTTTAAAAAATGAATGAGTATAGCTAAATGAAATAGGGGTTTCACACCAGTTCTGTTTCTCTTCTCGGACCTTATGTTTGTAAGCACTAGGAAAATTCATTCACATCAGCAGATGGGAACGTAAATAATTTTAAGCAGTAGCGTGACTTAATTCGTTGACTCCTAGGGAGCTGGGTAACACTTCATGGAGAGCTGGAGGTGAGGAAGGTAGAGTCGAAGTGGAGGTGAAGGAGCTTTGCCTTCAGGATGGATTTAAAGATAGCATCCATAGAATTTTCTAGTGGTTGAAATTTGAGGTGAGAGAGAGGCCTAAGGGTGTCTTCCAGGTTTGAGGCCTGAACACATGGAAGGATGCTGTTGCCATCAACTAAGAAAGGGAAGGCTGAGGTTAGAAAGACCAAGATTGAAGCCCCTGTGCTAGACAGTATCTAGAAATGAGTGTGATTAGACTCTGACACTGTACCTAAGTCCAATCAATAGCTACAGTGGCAGGCCTTAGATTAGAGAGTGAAGATGTGATAGATGTTGGGGATTTTAACCTAGCAGCATTTGCCTGGGGTATGAATGAGACTAAATGTGTCTAAAACAAATGGATAATGAGACAGAAATCAGCAAGAATTTTATCGAGTTTGTTTCAGCCCTCTGTTATGTTTTGTGGACTGTAAGAGAACTTATATTTGTAAGTAAACCTTGCATGTAGCTGTAGGTGTCACCTTTCAAATTAATAAAGGTTGATTTATGGAATATTTCAAGTACAAATAGTAAATGAGCCAAGCTATCAAAGCGTTACTTAATAGACATCCTCAGGGACCTAATTTAATGAATAGGTAAAGGGATGTTATTTGTAACTTAGCCCACAAATTATTTCTATATGAATCGGTGATTTTAAATGGCGGTGGCCTGCTTGAAACAATTTATTTTCTTAATTAGTTTAATCATTCTCTGTATAGTTTCTTACACTAGTTAATGGGTTAATGACCACTTTTTTCTTAAATAAATTAATTTTTCTTACCTAGTCACAAATTTCCAATTAATAAAGTTTGAAGAAGTGAGGTATTGCTGCAATAGTAGGGAAAATGACCGTATTTTATTTAATCTTTTTAAAATTAACTAACGTGTATTAAGTGCCTACGTTAAGCTGCACAGCCTCTGTACTTTGGCTCTAGAGATGCAAAGTCCAGTGAAATACATTTTTGCCTTCGAAGAACAAATGGCCTAATGGGAAAAAGAGATAGGTAACGGGGTAATTGTATCAGAGCATAGTACTGAGAGAGATTGGAATTAAGAACAAAAATGCTAAACTATCCTAGAAGAGCCACATCACTTACAGCCTAGAGGACTTCTGAAGAAAGCATGACTTATTATTCATCTCCCAACATTCTCTTTTCAAAAGAATTCAGAGTGACTAAGTTACTGTATATCTCCAGACATTGAGGTATGGGTTGCAGAACCTGTATCAAGTCACCTCAAAAACAACAAGAGGGTCTGGGGCTGGGGCTGTAGCTCAGTGGTAGAGCATCTGCATTGGGCTCAATCCTCAGCACCACATAAAGATAAATAAAGGTGGTTTTTTGTGTTTTTTTTTTTAAAAAAAAAAAAGCAGTTGGGGACCAATCTCTCCAGTCCCTAGGACAAGCAGATGTGGGGCTGGTATTAGGCTAACAGGAACCAAAGATTCTAACTCTTGCTGCTTCTCCAAAGTCTAGACAGACAGGGCCACCAACATTCCTGGGTTTTCCCCAGTAGCTACTGTGTGGGGAAAATCTCAGGCAAGGACTCTGGTCTAGTGAGGGTCATGTGACCCCTCTGGCTGGACTCTGAGCCACTGTGGATGAATAGACTCAGGTCCACACACAAGGGATATGTGACCAGAAGAAAGAATATCAGAAAGAGTCGCTGTTCACTGCTCCTCCTCAGTAATGTGCATTTAGCTGACTACTAAAAAAACATTCTCCATCGTCCAGTATACTCAGAACATCATAATGCAATCAGCATCTCATTTGGGGTTAGTCTTCTTCCCTTGCTCATGAAGATTTGGACAGAAGCACTTAGAATGTGTTGACATCACATTTTGCAGCAGCTTTGATTGCAATAAGCTTTGTGCTTTAGAAATTCCATGCATTCCACACAATCAGAATCATAATTTCTTTTTTCACTGTCTTCTTAACATGTACTTTATAGAGATTAACAAGATTTGATGTCATTAAGTCTTTCAAGCTACTTGCATGCAGGTATTGAAACAATGTATGACATAAGCAATCCCATTTTTCCTAGAATATTACAGGAATTTTCCTTACCATCTATTTGATTTTAAGTTGTTAAAAATCTGTGAGCCAATTTTACATTCAGATGAGTCATTGAAGTATACAGTGTGTGCCTAAAGGAAGTGTTTTGCCAAGAGTCTAAAAGGAAGTCTAGCAAGACAGTGCATTTTTAAATATAATGGTTATCTTTTCCTGATCATAAATAGCACACTGCTTATGTTGAATATTTGGAAACATTAAAGTATTTTAAATCTCCTATATATGCGGCCACCCGAAGCTTTGTATTTTTATGTGTTCAACATATAGAAATAAACATAACCTATAGAGACAATTTAGTTCATACTGTATATATAGTTATAGATACTATTTTTTAAAATTAAGTTGTCCTAAAGATTTTTTAAAAAGTAGTTAATATTGTCTTGATCATGTTGGGGAATGAATTTCTGCTGCAGTGATTTTTTAAAATATATCTTGTCCAAGTTCGTCTTCACACCATCTCTGTTCCATTTCTAGGGTTATTTTTGGTTACATTGCTGTTGTTCTTCCTTTAATCCTGATGTTTAAAGTTTCCCTCTGCTATCATTTCCTTTCTGTCTGAAGAACTTCCTTTAGAAATTCTGGTAGAGCAGGTGTGCTGCCTCCAAATTCTCCTACCGTTTCCTTCATCTGAGAACATCTTTGCTTCATCTTCATTTACCTTGAAGGATATTTTCGCTGATCAGGGAATTTCAGTTGGCAGGTTTTTCCTTTCAGCGTTTTTAAATGAACCCACACGGATACACAGTCACTGACTAAAGTCCACAGTGCGGTCAGATTTCCTTCGTTTCTACCTCATGTCCTTTTCCTCTCCCAGGACATCACATGACATGGAGTCGTCATGTTTTTTTTTGTTTGTTTGTTTGTTTTTTTTTAGACCAACTTTTGGCTTACAGTTTCGTGGACATTTTTGAGATTTACTTGTCAGGGGTTTGTTGACTGTGCCTCAGTAGGGATTTGTCTGATGTTTTCCTCAAGATTAGACTTGGTTTATGGGTTTTGAGTGGGGATACTACAGAGATCTTCCATTTCTGGCTCATCATATCAAGAATATATGCTGTCAGTATAACCTCTCTGTTGATGTTGGCTTGGACTGCCTGTTAAGGCAGAGTTTGCCAAATTTCTTCACTGTAAAGTCCTTATCCTCATCCCTGTCCTCTTTTCATATGGAACTCTTGGGAGGAAGTCATTGTCACTATGCACAGCCCACCCTGAAGGACTGGGGAGTTGTGCTCAGCTCCTTGATA